CATCATCATCATCATAGTTTCATCATAATTATAGGTTCCATATTCTCTTCCAGCTTCAAATCAACTAGGGAAGCAACTGAAATTCAGAAGGATGGTAGGGAGCGGGGTGGGGGTGGGGGTGGGGGGGGGAGGAAGAGGATGAAGCAAAGCTCTTTGTAATATCCGATTATTCGTCATTTCGTCTTATGATTTACTGCAGTATTCCCTTCCCTCTCCAAACGCAACTTTTTCGATTTTATATTATTTTATTTATAGTTAAAGTCCGTACCCAATAAATGAATTTTCTGGATTCACCACTAGACTATATATGTTATAGCCCGACCAATTTTGACACCGAAGTTTGACTCTATGTATTTCATAGATATACTACTCCTTTCGTTCCTTTAAAACTTTCCATTTTTTACTTTTGGCAAAAATAAAGAAAGTGTAATTTTGGTTGACTTTCCAATTTTGCCCCTGATGTGATGGGTAAAAGTAAGATGTAATAGTTTGGTTATTAGTGAAAAAAAATGATGTGATAGGTAGGGAATGAAAAAGTAAGGATAAAAGTGATTTTTTAATAGAAAGGGGAAGTGTTTTAGGGAATTCAAAAAAAATGAAAGGGGAAGGGTTTTGTGGAACGGAAGGAGTAGTATTTTAACCCGTGCGACGCACGGGTTGAATGAAGTTTTTGTCACTTCTGTAATTTATTTTCAATGTAACATTTTTAAACGATTTTATGAAAATATATTTAATGCATTCTTTAACACTATGGACATTAAAATCAATGTAAAATAAATAGTTTAGCATTTAATATTTGGTAATGAAAATTTTTATATATAAATTTAAAAGTGAACACCTTTAAGTCTTTTTAAATCTATATTTTTGGAAAGACTTCAGAGTATATAATGTTTTTGGTATGGTTGCAAAGGTTTTCAATATCATCTAGAATTAATAATTTTAACCTTATCATTGCTTTCCCTCGTGAAATAGCAACATAAAGTTAATCATGAGTAAATATTAATTTGGTTAAAAATGAACCAGCAAATAACAATGTTTGACCTTGACTTTTATTAATAATCATAGCAAAATATAAAACTATTGAGAGTTGTCTTTTCTGGAACTCCAAAGATAGTCTTAGATCAGATAGTACCAAATTTATTTTAGATATATAAATCTTTTCGCTCACTCAATTTCCCAAAACGACAATTGCACTGATAACGTTAGTTCGTAGCTCTTCAACGATTAATCTTGTCTCATTACATAATCAAAATGTTTGGTCAATGTTCCTCAATTGCATAATGAGTACCCATTTTTCCAAGATTATTTTGTTGTTTGACATTCTTGAACATTTGATTTCATTCAAAAACTGAACAACTATGAATCGCCATCAACACCTATATCTGTATATATTTTGCATGAAAGATCATAACTCAAGCACTCTTTTTCATCACCGGGAATGGGCAGGACATTCATTTATCATTTCAACTACTTCGAGAGTTTGTCCTAATAGTGTCATATCCTCAAAAAGAGAATAATAATTGTTTATATTCTCTAATATATTCAGATAAGTGAAGTCCACATACTATACTCTTAATAGAAGAACTTGTGTCAAAAATCAAGAATTTGGTAGAATCTCAACATCACTTACTCCATCAATCACCTTACCCAGCTTTCCATCAATTAACTAACCTGACTTTGGTTATCTAATCAGAAAAACCTCATGCCTTCGTATCTGTGCAAGAGGATGTAGATGAATGCAGTCTCATGTTTTTATCAACGTATAAACTTTACCATACGACCACAATTTTAAAAAAAATTGATCGTAGCACATAAAATTTTCTCCCTCGAAGCTCTGAATAAAACTGGAAGGATCTCACAAAAGTCACCTTCGAGTACAACTATTTTCTTTCAGAATGGTTCATTTTTTGAAGTTACTATTAAAGAACTCTGTGATATCTCTCATTGTACGATCTAATGCCTCAAAAGTAAATATATTCATCATACATGACAAATCCTACTTGTTGGAATAATTCTGCTTTCGGGCTTCCTCATTTGATGGCACATGTTGAGCACTCAGTTAGCGCCAAAGGGATTGAGAATCTCAATTGTGTTATCCTTTCACCACGCAATAGCAATGCTAAAATTCCATTGGATGCAACATCGAAAATAACCTTCGCTTATACGAAAGACAATGAGACATAATTATACGAATATATGCTCTCCGCTTAAACTTATTAGTTCTGATATGAATATATTACTCCCTCCGTCCACAATTAATCTTCCCGCTTTGACCGGACAGACAGATTTAAGTAAATTGAAAATGTAGTTGACTTTCCCAAATTACCCTCTCTCATCCCTCACTCAACCAGCCTCCCTGCCACCAAACACCTCTCTCGACCGACCTCCATACCTAAATTCTCGTTTGTCTTTCTTCAGCTCATCACCGGCAGCACCAGAAATCAATGGTCAGGACCTTGAGTTAGTCTTCTTCCTCTACGAATTTATTTTTTTTATTGGGTTGGGCCCTCCTCCTAAGAAGTCCGGTCCACAAGACAAGGATCAAAGAAACACCCGCCAGGTATTCTGCCTCCGCCGCCGCCGCCGCCGCCGAACTGGCTTCTCAGACGACATCGTGGTCCGGACCACCTGGCGTTGATATTGGACCAGGTGCTGCTGACCCATTCATTTCCGGGCTAAATCGCCATTCGAGCGAAGGTTTGCCTCTTTACCTCCATTCGATTGCCTCGTTCAATTCTGTATGATATCAAGTTGCTCTTCATGATCTTTAACTTCATGAACAATATCCATTTGATTCAGCAACTTGGAGTCGTCAACGTAGGCATGATTTTTTGCTATCCTTTTTCCTCTTTTCTGTAGAATGGATTGGCTATGTCCAAATGGTCCAACTCACTAAGATGGGCATAGATTTGTTAGCTCAAGAATGCGTTATACTTGAAATGTTGTCAAACTACCTCTTTTAATGACTTAAATAATGCCCTATCCTATTATTGTCAATTGTATCAGGGTAAATTACCACGAAGTTGTTAACCCGGGCCTTCGTGTGAATGATCTCATTGCACATATAGAGGGTGTTTGGCACTGCGATGTTTTTCAGAATTTAGCTTCTGCTTTAAGTGATAATCATTTTATTTTGTTTGGCATACCAACTTCTGCTTTTCTTTACCATCTCTTTGTACATAGAACACCATTTCAGGGAAGCAGGTGTATGGTGCTTCTGCTTTCAGCTTTTGTAAATCATTTTACCCACAAGTTCATCACTCCCAAACACCTTCATAGTACTTGATAGGGTATGATGGCACCATTTGATCTATGTAGCCGATCCCACTTAGTGGAGGTGGGATAAGACTTAGTTGTTGTTGTTAAGTTATAATTACTCTTTTAAAAGATTTTTATTTATTTAACATTTTTTTTATATAGTTACTAAAAAATTATATAACAAATTTATTATAACGAAATACATTGAATAAAATAAATATTGCTTCATTCAGTAAAAAAGTAATTTAAAATATTTATGAAAGCAAAAATGACTAAATGTGGGGAGCTTGCTTGAATTTTTTTTTTTCAAATATTGCAAGTTTTTTTCTTTTAAATGGTGAGTGCTTCTTTGGTGCACCTTGGATGCATATCAATTTTGTGGACCTTCTTACATTATTTTTTTTTAATTTTTTTATTTAAAAAAACAAATACTTATTTAAGTAGTACAGTTAATCACACTATGAAAACTTGTGTATTTCCTTCCCATTTCCCTTCGTCGGTTACCTTTTTATTCATCTTTCTTTATTTTTTCTGAGGTCCAAGGGCAAATGTTGGGTAGAGGTAGGTTAGGGAAAGCGACACAGGGCAGTTTTAGAGTAGATGATTAATGACAGATGATAGATCTCTCCCATCTCTACCCACCATGGTTGAATTTTCTCTGCACCAAAAGTTTCCAAGAAACCCGGCATGCATCCAAGTCTATGCACAATCTGCAGTTCAGCCATGGCCATGGCAGCTAATGATGAAGAAGAAGAAGAAGAAGAAGAAGAAGAAGAAGAAGAAGAAGAAGAAGAAGACAAAGTTACTTATACTACCAATATTTGCTACTACTAACTACTCAGATGTATGCTTTTCAAGAACTATTGCTTCTACCTGAAGATACCAATAAGAAGAGAACTGGTAACTTTTCTTGATTTTATTCAGCATAGGTATTGATAAAGATGACGCCTTTTTTCAGTTTTCTTGAACCAAATTGCCAGTCACCGTCCTAAACTAGTAAAATCTTTTCTTTTCCCTGCAAAGAAGACAAATTTTTTGTAAAAAATTAATTAATTTGGATGTGGCTGAGAATGGAAGACTTTGTGCAGGTGGCGCAGTGAGTCTTCTTGCTCTCACCAGAAGAAGAATTTCAGATGCCATGGCCGAGAAAACAGGGAATGAATGGTCAGCTTTGGCGCATATAATAACAGCAGTGATAGGGTCAGGTGTTCTTTCCTTGGCATGGAGCATGTCAAAGCTGGGATGGATCGCCGGTCCGATAAAAATGCTGTGTTTTGCTGCGGTCACTCTCACCAGTGCTCTTCTTCTCTCCAATTGCCACCGACCCAGTGATTCTGACCTCCACACCCATGGCTCTTACCTTGATGCTGTCCGCTCCGTCCTAGGTAAAAACACAGACTTTTGCAAAACCATTAGATCCCATTTCGTAAAATGTTGCTTTGGTTCTGTAGTTTATCGCATTTCTTGATGATTTCAGATTCTTCTTTGTGCTTGCTTGGACGGATTGTTCTTTTTTTAAGTAATCTGAATGAATATTTAGAGAATTTGTTCATTTGTTGAACGAATGAAAGATTTTACTGGGGTTGTTGTTCGTTTCGTATGTGGGGCAGGAAATAGAAGCGCCTGGTTTTGCGGCATCATTGTTGGGATCAATTTCATCAAGCTTGGAATTGTGTACACAATCACTTCTGCTATTAGCATCAGCTCTGTAAACAACTGAGAATGATTCTTCACCCTTGGACTATTATATATTCTTCCATTGGATGAAGAGCTTCTTGATTGCAGAGCAATTCAGAAAGCAAACTGCTTTCATTATGAAGGCCATGAGGCTACTTGTGGGTATTCAAACATGAAATATATGATTATATTTGGATCAATCCAAGCAGTAGTGTCTCAAATTCCAGACTTTCACAACACGCAATGGCTCTCCATTGTTGCTGCAGTCATGTCTTTCACATATTCATTCATTGGATCAGGACTCAGCTTAGCTAAAGTAATAGGTAGTAATTAACCGCAATTCGGAATACTTTATTGTTGATGGAGTTGATCCAACATACCCTAAGAATCCACTTCCTGAAATGGAATTTGCAGGTAATGGAGAAATAAAGGGTAGCATTGGAGGGTTGCCTTCTCCTAATCTAGGCAAAAAACTATGGTCGGTTTCAGAAGCACTTGGAAACATTGCCTTTGCCTTCCCATTCTCTGTCATTTTTCTAGAGATACAGGTGCAGCAAGGGTTCACATTCAAAGATATAGCGAATGAAATGTGGCAATCTAATAAAAGTTTGAACTTTTATGAAGGATACGTTGAAAGAGCCTTCAGAAAAGGCGACCATGAAGAAGGCCTCAATAATGGCAGTCTTCACCACCACATTTTTCTACCTGTGTTGCGGAGGATTGGGTTATGCAGCATTTGGCAATGCAACGCCCGGGAACCTCTTAACGGGATTTGGTTTTTACGAGCCTTATTGGCTCGTCGACTTTGCTAATGCATGTGTTGCTCTTCACCTTGTTGGAGGATATCAGGTACTAAGGTGAAAGTTTGGTAAATGGTAAGTCACAATCAACGTATATCTAATGAAACCCGGTAAAATCCCACACAAAATAAGGTCTGGGGAGGGTGAGTATACACAAAACTTAACCCTACTTAGAGGTAGAGAGGCCGTTTCCAAGAGAACCCCGATTCAAATACAAAAGTACAGGCGAGCAAAGCCACAATAGCACTATTGAAATATAAGTATACATACCGAATCAAACAACAAGACCCAAAGCCACAAAGACACACCAACCAAAAAAATAACATAAGACTCCTAGGTCCACCCATTTACTCTGATACTATACCTCTCTCGGCATTCCTATCTAAGGTCATATCCTCGGTGACATCATGGAGTTGTAAATCTTGTCTAAACAACCTCATCCAACACTTCCTAGGTTTACCTCTACCCATCTGCACTCTACCAAAATACAACTACAATCTTACATTCCCACCATCATTACACAGGTTCGGAAGATATTTAGATCTGATCGGAATGATGATATTCGCAGGTGTTCAGCCAGCCATTGTATGCAAATGTGGAGAGATGGCTCGGGAAGAAATACCCAGAGATTCAATTTGTACAGAGGAACTATGTTCTAAAACTAAACTACTTTCCAGCATTGCAGTTTAACTTCATGAGAGTGGTTTTCAGAACTGCATATGTTGCTGCAATAACTGGGATTGCGATACTGTTCCCTTACTTCAACCAGGTTGTGGGGGTAGCAGGAGCGGTCAACTTTTGGCCTATAGTCGTGTACTTCCCTGTTGAGATGTACCTAAAGCAGAAAGAGATTGAATTTTGGACATGCAAGAAGACCGCTCTTCGTATATACACATACCTATGCTTGGTTATCATCCTATTTGCCTTTGTTGGTTCCATCCGAGGATTGATTCTTGCCAGGTTCAGCTAGGAGGTCACTACTTGGTCACATCTACTTCCTAGTAAGAGTAAAGTTTGCATACACACATCCTCTTACCGTATTTTTGTGGAATTTTACTGGGTTTGTTGTTATTATAGTTACACATTTACGCTTTTCATTGTGCGACAATGTGTTGACTATAAATGTAATACATAGTTTTTTTAACGTGGAATTCCGATTTTGCTTTCGTTGAACATACATAGTATGAGTTTTTTTTCTTTGATGAACTGCTGTAACATATAATTGGCTGAAAACTCATATTACATTTTATAATACATTGTATGAGGTTGTGTAACTTTTGGCTAGGCCATTGGACTGAAATTGCAATGTTCTTATGATTATTGTTGTGTTTTTTTTTTTTTTTAGGAAATTAAGGTTGGTGGCAGATGTGAAGAGAGTGTTGCTCAAAAGGGTGAGTAAAATTCAAGCCTGACAGTCTTCGAGGAAAATTGCGTAATGCAGATTGAATAACATTTGTTTTTTAAGAGGCTCTAACGTCACTCCAACCTAACATACCCCATTCACATTTAACTCACATTACTTTTGTGATAAATTAAAAGTCAAATGAATGTAGATATGATGTATGTCTCTATTCATTCAACTTTTTTTTTTAGGACTTTATATAATTTATCAGCAAGAACAAAGAGTCAATGTTTTTGAACATATGACCTCCTGTTTGGAAGAGCTACGGGCGCACAGTGATACCACTAAACCACAAGACCTCTCGCATTCAACTTTTGATATAACACAAAAGTCGGATGTAGTAGAGTACCTACCTCGTTTTGAAATCATCTTCTAACTCGGATGTCTCAAAATAAAATTTTCATTCTTTTTTAGGATAAAAATTATTCTCGAGATAACTTGGACTTACTTTATAGAAACTAAACTATATGTTAGAAACAATTTCTGTTACCTGCCTCTTTCAAACAAAGGTAAGGTCCCAAACCAGTCTTGTAGGGTATGTTCTGTACGGTTTGGTCCCATAAGAACTACTACTACCATTATAAATTTATAATGACAATGATGGTGTGAGATCCACTCGTGCAAGAACCTTAACAGTCGAAACCCAGCACAAAGACCACATTGGTCAGCCACCCTTTCTCTCTGTAAACTGCAAATAGTCAAAGTATAAACACACACACACACATGAGAGAGAGAGAGAGAGAGAGATTGACCAGGGGTGTCTTGTGAGTGAGCTACCAAACCAATTTCACACGCCCAAATAGAGTTTGAATTTTATAATGTATTCATGCAGAAGTGATGCTTGTTGTGCCTCTACACTCTGTTCTTGGAAACCGGTAATTCTCCGATGCAGAAGAACAAACTATCGTCACTCTACACTCTGTTCTTGGAAACCGGTAATTCTTACTTCCCGAATGAAATTTTGAAGCATGTGAATTTTCAAAGTATTAAAACAACAAACTTGAACTTTTGATAACTCCATTCTTTGACATAAAATGTGAGCAAACAAATATTCATTTTTTCTTTTAAAAAGAATGCTCACTCGTAGAGATACTCTCACTTTTGTTTCCACTAAAAAGTGCATACCTTGTTATAGATGGTCGGTGATAGCGGCACAGCTGCCGGGGCGAACAGACAACGATGTGAAGAATCACTGGAACACGAAGCTGAGAAAGAAGCTGTAGGGGATGGGAGCCGGCCTCGAATTACAAGCCTTGGGATCTCGCCGGCGGCGAGACTTCCGCCACGATGCCGGAGGCCGGCGGTGGTTTTCTGGCGACCGCCGATCATCAACACGGGGGGATTTGACCAGTACGGCGGCCTTCTCATGCAAGACGCCGAGGAGGGGTCGCCGTGGAACCAGAGCATGTGCACGGGAAGCACGTGCACGCCGGGGGAACATCATATGCGGCTGCCGGAGAAAGCCGTGGACGATGAAAACGGAGCGTGTTCGGATGGCGGAAAGGGGGCGGCAACAGAAGCGCCGCCGCCGCCTGGAATTTTCCACTCTGACTGTGTGTTGTGGGATATTTCTTCTGAAGATCTCATGAACCCGATCGATGGTTTGAAGAGTGGGATCAGATCAGAAAACAAGCCATTCTTGTAGCAATTTATTTGCATTACTTCATAAATATCATGGCTTTGTTTGGTAACATCGTTTTCAATTAGCGTTAGCGTTTTGGATATAATTTTAATGGTGCAGATTAATTCTAAAAACTCTAACGCTAAAAGCTACCGTCAGATAGCTTTTTCAAAACGCTAACTCTAATTTCTGACGCTGATGCCAAATGGGGCCATATTTTCAAATGCTCACTCAATAAATATAAGTCATCAAATGGATGGAGAAATATATATGTCCTTACCTTCACGAGCATCATATTTTCCAAATAAAACATATTTGGTGTCAATAGGATTGTTGTGATTATGTATTTATCCCGACTAAAATGGAGATGTGTTTCATTTTAAAAAAAATGTGGATATTTCCAGTTTTAGATTTTCAGAAAATGCAAAGGTTCTTTTTAAGGCTCTTGATGCTTTACTTTGGTTCATGCGGGTGTGAGAACAGAACTATATTGCCTCATAAGTCATGTCCTTAGTCCTTAGGACTCCTTACATAGAGAAATGGTACTAAGATAATAAAGACTGGTTACCATTTGCTTTAAAAGGAAAATGGTCTATTAAACTTCTCTTATGAATTTTATATGGACACGATTTTTTTGACACTCGCCAACGGTGACACTAGCAGTGCTACTGTGTTTTTCGAACACTTTCTATGTTCTAATCGAAAAATTAACCAATTTCTTAAACCTCCACCCCTACCCCCACCCAAACCCCGCCCTAAGCTTCTTCCAAAATGTGTAACTATTATGCAATGCAAGTTTATTGTAAGTTCGGATCAGACGAAGAGAACACGACCTAATTATAAATTTATTGTACTCCGTAGTATTTATAGTTTCTCTTTTTCAATTTATTTTTAGTTCAATTGAATTTAATTTAAATATGTTGAGTTAATCACTTATCAATTAAAAAATTTACTCCGGTTTCGAAATAGATTGTATGGAGCCAAAACAAGGTAAAACTACAACATTTTTCAATTTATTTTAATTTAAAAATTAGTGTAAAAAAACAAAACTTATATATTTAAAAATTATATCAATATAGTGTAGAATAAAATATGATAAGAATACTTTATTTTATTAAATAATTAATAAAACCCACAAATAAATAAAAATTATAATGATTTTGGAATAATGTACTGTATAATCAATTTAGAAATGGAGGAACCATTGGATTAGTGCATGATTAATCCATTATGATATTAGAAGCGGCCCTATGATATTAGAAGCGGCCCAAGTACATGAAACTGGGCCAAGGTCCAATTTAGTCATCCTCTCCATCTTCCCGCTCATTTGGCGCCAACACCACCGTAAAAAAGTAAAAACCCTTTCGCTGTAACTACCAGAACGATTCCGATACTAAACCAGCGCCATGGAAGCTGAAACGGAGCTTCAATCCACGGAAGAGGACGTGGAAATGGAAGTAGAAGAAGGACCGGTCCCGCCTTCGAAATCCAAGGAACCGCCGCAGATTCACCGCCTGGACGAGTCTGTGGTGAACCGAATCGCCGCAGGAGAGGTCATACAGCGACCGGTATCCGCCGTGAAAGAGCTTGTAGAGAATAGCCTCGACGCCGGTTCCACCTCAGTATCCGTCGTTGTCAAGGACGGCGGCCTCAAACTCATCCAAGTTTCCGATGACGGCCATGGCATTCGTGTATATATCCTAGCCTTCCCTGAAATATGGAATTGCATCTTATGTTACTTAGGCCTTTTTTCGGGAACATTATTTTTCAATAACCCTTACTTTTTCGGATAATTTTTTAGTTTTTTTAGTAGCAGTAACTCAATTAAGCTAAAGCTAAATTTTTAAATCGTTTGAATTTTTTTCAAGTACTATTAACCCTATCATGCTAAAGCTAAAAATATTTTTTTATTTTTTAGTTATCTGATAATGGTGTGGATTAATTTTGAAAATGCTTAAGCTATTTTTTTTTTTTTGAATTTTTGGATAATTTTCAATTGTCGCTATTAGCTAGATTTTTCAAAATGCTAAAACTAAACAATGAAACTGCTGCGAAACATGTCCTTAATAGTGAAACCTGTAATCCATTTGAAAGAAGTTTGAGTTTTGGAGATATAGTTACTTTTGGGTTCAGCATCTCTAGTGTGTAATTAAAAGCTTAGCTTCCTAAGAAAATAATGTAAAGAAATGTGTTGCTTCTATAAGTTTATGAAAATGACCAGATTTCCCATTTCTGATTATTTAATTTAATGCCTAGTTATTTCTTGTGTCTCTAGAAAGAGGATTTGCCAATATTATGTGAAAGGCATACAACATCCAAATTAAGCAGCTTTGAGGACTTGCAAAAAATTAAGTCTATGGGTTTCAGAGGGGAGGCCTTGGCTAGCATGACATATGTAGGTCATGTAACAGTCACCACCATCACTAAGGGTCAATATCACGGTTACAGGTACTAATGATGCCCATTGCAAATATCTCTAGTTAAGTAACCAGCTAAAGGTTGTATTCAGTAGATACTTGCTTAAATACCTGATTTTGTTGCTGGAGTCACATTTGTATCTGGAAAGTGTTCTCTTCAAGAATCTGTTGTAAGGACTGCAGCAAGATAGAATCTGGATTTTACCGCAAGTGTTCTTCTTACCTGTCCACTGATCTCAGTGATGACTAAAGAACCTTCAGTTCTAATGACAGTAAACAAGCTGTTGTAGCTTTCTCTCTTTTAGCTTTTGCGGTATGCATTATTCATCCACTTATGTAATTTAGCTGACTTCTAGGGCAACTTATAGAGACGGCATAATGGAAGATGAACCAAAAGCATGCGCAGCGGTAAAGGGTACTCAAATAATGGTACGATTTTGACATTCCCCTCCCAATTTCTCTATTGGAGTTCAAGTATTGATGACTGACTAGAATTTAGTACTTTAAAGCCTTGTGAATCAATTTTACGGGTTGTATAGATTTGAAGACCTTATGTGCATGTGTGTGTGTCTATACACACACCCACATATACATATACATATACATATACATATACATATACATATACATATACATATACATATACATATACATATACATATACATATGCATATGCATATGCATATGCATATGCATATGCATATGCATATGCATATGCATATGCATATGCATATACATATACATATACATATACATATACATATACATATACATATACATATACATATACATATACATATACATATACCTACACACATATATGATATATCTACATACATCCACACACACATGAGAACTCATCCTAAAATGGCTAAAAGACTAGTCAGTTAGGTGAGAGAGTCCATTTGGTCTATAAACCCCTCATTTATTGGCCATACAACCGACGTGGGACAAGCCCCATACCTTGTAACTGGTTTCAGGCCATAACATTTGATCCTCCTCAAGGGCCAAAGTCCTCGTTGGTCATGGGTGGTTCCACCAGGCCACCACTCCAAGTTGGATCTGATTCCATTTGGTCATATCGTGGAAGGTCCGCCCTTACCCTCAGCCTTGGTCCAACCCTAATGGAATTCCATAGTATGTTGCATTATACATAAATATTTTATATATGCATTTTCATTGTCCTGAATTTTGTTTTGCCTTCAGATTGAAAACTTATTTTATAATATGGCTGCTCGGAGGAAAACTCTTCAGAACTCTGCTGATGACTATCCAAAAATTGTGGACCTCATCAGTAGGTTTGCCATTCATCACACTAGTGTGAGCTTCTCGTGTAGGAAGGTTTGTGTTTTCTTTTGGGGAATTATTGCTGTTATACATTTATTTGATCCCAGCCTGTCTTTTATTGTCTAAGCTTGACCATACATCTCCTTGATGCAGCATGGAGCTGCTAGAGCTGATGTTCACTCATCTGCAACACCCTCAAGGCTTGACGCAATACGATCAGTTTATGGTGTATCAGTTTCTCGAAATCTGATCAAAATTAATGTTTCTGATAATGACCCATCAAGTTCAGTCTTTGAGATGGAAGGATTAATCTCCAATGCTAATTATATTGCAAAGAAGATAACTATGGTGCTTTTCATCAATGGTATGCCTGCTAACCTAAGATGGCAGAATATGTAGCTTTTGACTTGCTTATTTGGCTGAAATGGTAGGTACCAAACACTTTATCTTTCAAAAAGTTAAGTTGAAGTATCAATTACACCCAATTAATCCTTACCAAACAGGCCATGAGTATAAAATGTCGATTTAAGCTCGCCCCAACCCCCCTAAGGTTAATTTCAAAAGGTTTGCCCCCAAAATATTCATGCACGTGTCTTAGAATGGTTTATGGAGATAATATCAAAACAGCTGTTCAAAATCTCAATATGAGCATTTCAAGAATCAGCGAAGTTCTTATTCTAGTAAACAGACCGAAAACAAGCTCATTCAAACTGGTCTAGGAAATTCTCACCTTCTATACAATTGCTGCTTTGATGGTTTTCTATAGGTAGGTACTCATATTGCTTAGCTGAAAACCCCATCTCATGTTAGTATGTACTACTATCTTCTTTTTAAACTAAACAATGTGAAGATTTATAGCCAAAAAGTTTGCATTTTCTTCACATGTTATCTTTGAATTGTTAATTTTCTTTTCCAGACAGACTGGTAGAATGTGGTGCTCTCAAGAGGGCAATTGAAATAGTCTATTCTGCAACATTGCCTAAAGCTTCGAAACCATTTGTATATATGTCGGTCACTCTTCCATCAGAGCATGTTGATGTGAATGTACACCCCACAAAAAGAGAGGTATTTGTGATTATCATCATTATACACTTAATTTCCACCAAGTAAGGACAAAGAGAAGGTCTTGGCATCATTGTGTTTTTGTGTGTTAGTATCAGCGTGGGCATGTGCAGGATATCCATCATTATCACAATCTTCTGTAACTTCTAGTGGAATAAACATATAATGTCATTCAATTACATTTCCTTTTTAGTTTTTATTGCGTTCATGGGATTGATTTTGCATTATCAATTCCATATAGAACACGGCTACAATTAATATATGACTACGTTATCGTTTTATGATATTTAGCATGCAAATGGAAATAGCATATGCTGATCATGCTTTCAAATTTCGTCTCAGTATTCCTATGTAAGAAGGCTTCAGCATGAAGGACTTCCTACAACCTGTGTGAAGATATGCCAATATTTTTTGTTTTTTTGCATGATTTTAGTGTTAACTAAAGAAATTGACACTATAAATTTCATGTCATTGACCTCAACAAGATTAAGGTCTTAGTGATGGTGAGGATATAATG